GCCAAACTGCAAAAGCCTGTAAGATCAAAAATTAAAAATTTTCAGGAGACGAAAAAACTGCGTAATTTTTTTTCTATGAAAATTATATTTTCGGTTCATTTTTTTTTTTTTTTTTTTGGCTTTAAGACAAAGCTGTCCGACATGTACCTTTTTTTAAACGTATTTCTGCCAAATAATCTTTTCCAATTTTTTTTTGAGCCATTACTTCTAACTTATATCTTTTTAGTTACTTCGGAAAAACAGGTAGTTAGGTAAAAGCAATCAACTTTATTGTAGTAACACTCATAACTTTGTTAATAATGATCAAAACATGACAGAAACAAAGTCAGTTTCCAAAATATAGAGAAACGATACTTCAAATGAAAATTTGTAAAAGATTTGACTGGAAAGTGAGTATTTCATCAGACGGGATCTTAAGTGTTTAGTCTTCCACTCAACTTCATATGGACAAGGTTTGATATTCAGGAATGCTTGGCAAGTTCTAGATAACCTGATGATGTGCAGATCACTTGGTTTCTGAGCTTATTGCGATTTTGAAGATTCATTGGTTGAAAATAATCGATGGACTGTAATGATGGCAGTAATGATGGCCTAATCATTAATATGAGTTATTAAAATCATTAATAACTCATTTTAATGATTAATTTGTATTTAATTTTATCCGATAATAATAAAATTATATGCATATACATAAAAGTAAATTAGTTTAACTGTTGCATATAAAAGAGACAACTAGATAATTTAATTGTTGACTACACAGTGTTTTTTTATTTGCATTCTTTTCTAATTAGTGTCGTGCTAAACTAAACTTAGATTCCTGCCATGTCCTTATATTTTAAGAAATATTTATTTAATAAAATATTCCCTTAAATTTGAATAGAAATGAACTAAATATACATTTTTATGATATAGGAAATTCATTATTTTCTGCATTACTTTATTGGCAATAATATGTTATATTACTACAGAAATGTAATTATTAATTAAAAAAAAAACAGTTTTTTAAATTAATAATTCCATATTAAACAATATATAATATATATATATATATATATATATATATATAGTTATCAATATATATATATATATATATATATATATATATATACATATATACATATATATATATATATATATATATATATATATATATATATATATATATATATATATATATATATATTATCGTCTATAAGAGATAAATAGACTGTTATCATTGAGTTTAATTTACCTTTACAGGCCATCTAAATAAAACATAAAAAAAAAAAAAAATGACTATCGCGTTATGAAACTGAAATACACGGAAATTGACTATATAAATATAATATATTTGTAATAAAATAATAATAGAATTTTAGTTGTGAAGCCACTGTTAGCCATTTTCACGACAATCCAAAAGAAACAAGCAATAAATATGAAAGCGAAGATGGTCATATGAAGGTTCTTGAATGAAAAATGGAGACGAGCTTTTTCATTGCCTTCAGTCTTGGCATTAGACGTCTTTCACTTTTTGTCATTCAAATAGGGTTTTGGCAAATAGTGCGCAGAATAAGTTCTTCGGAAGGGCTTAATACAACTTTTATAAAGTTCTACAGAGGACTTATCTACTAATCCAATTAGGTTAACAAAGCAACAAAAAAAAATTAAATATAAATTAATCATTAATATGAGTTGTTTTTAAAACTGTATATTTTATTTTTGTGTAATGCTTTCTACAGGATTTTTTATCGCATCTGCTTGTTCCACTTGTTTATTCGAGCTAGATATTAAATATTTAGATTTGACAGTATGACAAGGGGACCCCTGCTGATGTATAACCGATGAATCAGTGCTTAAGGCCTAAGCATCACCGCGATAAAAACATTAAAATAAAAAAGTGCTTTCTTCTGTTTAAAAATAAATAAATAAGATGTTAAAAATATATAAAATAACATACATATATATGTTAGTACAGTTATGTAAATATTTTTAAATTTATGTTTTCATATTATTTTAATCAACTTCATTAATTTATTATTAACTGTCACGTTATCCAAATAGGACTGGTCACAATATTTGGAATTAACGGCTTACTATTATAGAAATAAGTCTATAAGTATAATTTACAACCCCCAATCCAATTCCATATTATAAAAGAAGTATTAGTTATCATTTTATTTTATATACATTGCTAAAATAATAATTCCATATTCATAATATAATTTACATATATTGTAGGCTAAATTTTCTAACAAAATTAGAGTGCTGTATAAATTTCCTCGAGAAATTTTCATAAGAACAGAAAATAAGGTTAGGCATGAGACCAGGTAACATATAATAGACATTAAAATGTTTATTTGTATTATTTTTATGATTAGTGTCGTACTAATTTGTCTCAGATAGTAATAAGATTATATGTAAAAATATATAAGTAAGTTAGTATAGCTGTTGCATATAATAGAGATAACTAGATCATTTAACTGTTGACTACATGTTGTTGTTTTTATTAGTATTCTTTTCTAATTAGTGACGTGCTGAACTCAACTTAGATTCCTGCCATGTCCTTATATTTTAAGAAATATTTATTAATTAAAATATTACCTTAAATATGATTAGAAATGAACAAAACATACATTTTTATATAATAGAAAATTCATTATTTTCTGCATTACTTTATTCGCAATAATATGTGTATTACAATAGAAATATAAGAAATGTAATTTTTGATTTTTCAAAATAAACAGTTAAAGCCAAAAAAATCATATGAGGTATATAACGCCTAATTATTGATAAGTTCAATGTATGGTCGCAAGAAATCGTATAAATATTGTCTAGAACATGGTTTGAAATAGATAATTAAAAAAATAAAAATAGAATCCGATCAAAATTTTTATATGAAATGTTTTATAATTTTTTTTTAAAGTGATATAAATCATATCCTGATCATTATTTTTGAACAAAATGTTTACAACTTATAATAATAGCAATATATGAACAATACTTTTTTAAATCAGAAATTTAGATTTTTTGTATAATTCCTATGATATATACTTAATTGAAATGCCGCGTGTACAATTAGAGCTATTTCAGAAATATAATACTAAAAAACTGAGTACATTAATAACGTAGGCATACATATTAATATATTAATTTATGTGTAAAAAATGTTTTTTATTTTCTGATCTATATTTTTTTTATTACAATTTAATCATTATTAATTATATAATAACGTTTCAATCGATGAGTGATCATTATTTTTAATCGAATCACTAAACATCAAAGATCGATTTAAATTTTTATTTATAAATCAGGCATAATTTTTAAATAAAAAATCACATATAATAATTATGACACGATTTTGAGGAAGAAATTAATATCGATTTTATACTCTGATCTAGAATCCAGTATGTACGTTCTATGAAATTTGTTATTAAAACATCTAATTATGAAATGAAATAATCACTTTTAACTGTAAAATAAATGTTAATATTTCATAGTATAGAAACATGTGTGTATGTGGGTAGTTATTTTTATTAGTTAATTTTATTTTATTTTAGTTTATATACACTTACATTTAGCATTATTGTTTTTCTGTATTATATATTGTTGATAGAGTGTCAATGTGAACTATTATAAATGTCACTATTATAAATTGTGACAGATTGTAATATCTCTCAATAAATATGTTTAAAAAAAAATAATCCATACAGCCTTATAAGATGTGTTTAATCAATGGTTGCATCTATCTTAAAGCCCATTTTTTATTAAAACGTATTGATCCCGTCTGTGTGGTAATTAAGAAATCTAAAAACACGTTTGAGGTCTTGCTGGAGAGCTAAAAAAAATCTTCTTTTTCTATGTTAATATATTGATTATCATTTGCTTTTCACAGCCATAAAGAATGTTTTGTTGAGATAGTCTTTTGCAGACGACCTCGTTTAGCGCTATGATACTGTATTGGATCGCTAACCTCTCTTCCGGCACTACTATTTCTTACCAACCAACAGAAGATACCGGTAGAAAAGCAACCATTTTTTTAAAAAAAGCTAAAAACCATCTCAGGAACAAACTTTAGGACATGAGATAAGATCTGATCCTTCCTCTCAATTACCATCTTGATTTTAGCATTACAAAAATATGATCATATCTAATTAAGACACTTAAGGTTTTATGTAATATTAGATCAGAATTTATGGATGATTAGTCGTGATCACTAGCGGATCCAGAATTTAATTTTGGGGAGGAGGCGGTTTCAGCCCGAAGGCTTTTTTTTCTAATATATATAACGATAGTTACTTTGGAAAAAAAGAAATATTCCAACTACCTACATGAAATGCTGTTTAAGTGATTCTTGAATTCCTATTAAATGGAATTACACGAACAATAATATTTAAAGAGATCATTTTTTTCTACAAAACATGGTTCCATTTTACCATTTTGGCCCCCTCTTCCCCGTAGATCCGCCTGTGGTCGTGATGTAGCAAAAATTATTTGTTGGAGATCTGTCATGTTTTCAACAAGCTTCTTTCCCTATATCAACTAATCTTTTGACTAATATATCCTACTTATTGTTAGATTTATTATCTAAATTCAGCTCTTGTAGGCATACGGAGATGTGCTAATGTTTGTGTATCACAATTCGAGACTCCCTCTAACAGGAAAGCTATCTTCATACAGCTAGAGTCGGAACTACAGTATAAAGAATAGAAGGTAGTCAATAGGAATTTAATTTATAAACTTCATGCATATATATAACCACAGATATATAATTTTGTAACCATCCCATTGGTAAGTATAAATAAAACTTATATAATAATTGGAGAATACAAATTCATATTAAAGTACGAATGGTTAGTAGAGAAGAAAATAAGACTCACAACAAGAGATTAAGCATGTCCAGACAGAGAGACAGTTGGCGAATCGCTCGAGAACGGCACACGACCAATCACTAGATCTTGAGCGAACTGGCCGGCCCCCAGTGTTGCCATGGCAACCCCCCTCCCTATCGACCCCCCACCCTCATGTCGTCTCTTCCGTCCAGGGCAATCATAACAGTCTCTATCGGTGTATGTTCTACAGAGGATTACAGGATCATCAACCAGGTCTTCTGGTTCTCTTCTGCATGTCGATTCTTCAAGAAGGAAGGACAGTACAATGTGATCTGGCAGCTAGAGAAAGGAGGGTAATCTACAGGTTGCAAACCACGTATCAGAGAAGGAATGTCCAGATTAATTCCATAGATAAGATTTAAATTAAGGAAATACTAGTATAAACCAACAAGAACTCTCAAATTAGATAGTTATCCTTCTCTCTATTCAAAATTTAAAGTAACTATTTACATATGCTAAGCAAGAAGACATAGCAATCCCTGAACTAATATTAAACCATTATTGTACTAGATCAAGAACTATTTCTTTGGTACAGAAGAACCTTGGTCTTGCAAAAGAGTCTCTTACTAAGAGTATAGAAGCCAAATGATCCAAGGTGCTCTAACGATCTCAGAACCTCCATTTACCTTTTCAATAAACTTTTAGTTCATCGAGGATTATAAAAAAATAACAATATTTTAATTTTGAAAACCTAAATTAATTTTAAGTAACCCATGGTGACCACATCCACACCTATTCCGGACGAAACAGAAGTTAAGGTCAATTTGGTGTTGTTTTTTCCAGGTGGTCACGGTTATTACTGAATAAGAAAGAATTGCTCAAAAACTATTCACGATAATTGAATTCTAAGAACATCATCCTAAAGTAGGCATACATTTTTTTTTTTAAGCAGTGATTAAATTTACTAAGGTCAATGACAAAAGGGACTTCCAGGTCTGATACTGCCGCTGTACTACAGCAGTTACAGTACCCATAACCGAGCAGCATATATCTGTAATCACGATTCGTTAAATAATTTCGCATAATGGAAGGCTTTGCGTTATTAGACCTCTTGAAAGTCCCTTTTATCTTTGACCTTAGTAAATTTAATCACTCTTTTCTAAAAAAAAAAATGTCTACTTCACGATGGTGTACTTACAATATAATTATCTTGGAGAGTTTTTGAGCAATTCCTTCTTGTTCAATAAAGGACGTTACCTTAAGAAAAACACAAAATTGGTCTTAACTCGTTTTCTTTTCGGAATTCGCTCATACACCAAAACTTTTTTTTGGAAATTTGTAATGAATCGCCCTCTTGAATTTAGCCATCAAGAGCTGAGACGCCCTGTATATTCTGAACTCCATAGTAAATAACGAAAAAGAAACCTCCTACATCAAGTCCTCGATATCCTATTCGTCCTTGACGATATTCAATCCAGATACTCGAATTCTCATCAGAACTTCAGCCACCATCCTCATCTTTTTGCACAATTCCTACCCAGCTTCGATCATGCATGGCATTGGAATGGTCTGCATAATGGGATAAGCTGCCCTCGAGTCCTCAAGAGCTCGGTTTCCACTCCGTCGTAGTAGTTGGTTGAGAAGAGCTGGGGATCTTCTTCCAATTCATATAAAATCCCTATTAGATTTAAATATTTAAAAAAAGTTCATTATAGGCATTAAAGAAACAAAACAACCGAGAACAATAGAAACAATAGAGATAATCATATAGTCTCTGAAAAGCTACAAAGTTTTTAGTATACAAAGACTATTCTATCCTTTTTTCAGTTTCTTGTGTGGAATGAAGGAATTGTAGCAACAGATAGGAGCGCTTGGCTGACCTTGGGGGCCCCATTGTACACTATGTTAATCTGGAACGGGCAGTTGATTCATTGCTGTGTGGCAGGTCAGTGATGTTCTCGTTAATGTCAGGGGAACATAATGGATAGGGTTATCGCAATTATTTATTATCTTGCCATTCCTTTATAATTAAACATTAAGAAACAAAACAGATTTGGAAAAACTATTCTCGTTTATATTCAGAAGTCTAAAAAAATTGCAAGTTCTTGTATTTGATAGAATGGGATCCTGCAAGGAATAGTTATAGACAGGTAGTGCTGTAAAATAATATAAGAGATAGCTAAGACAAACAAAGAAAGATAATTCTTTCGGTCTATTTTATTTACTGTTTTATATTGAACAAAAATATGCATGCCCTCGAACGTAAAGAGTAAAAATAGTTTCATAATAAGTGAAATGCACTCTATAATATTAATATGAACAAATCGAGCCGGATTTTAAGCAACTTGAGTATTTGGGCTAATTCCGAAACTCAGCACTGAGGTCATTAATGGGCATTTAAAATTGGTCAAATTGTTCCTAAAGTCATCGATGGATCCACAAGTGCAATTCAGCAAAATTTAGGATCCGTTGGATCCTCGGTGTTGTCATTTCTCAATTTACTTTAAATATTTATATTTAGTTGACTCCCTCCCAATATTTTTTAAATATATAAATCGATGTCCATTGATGCTGGATTCAATCGATTAATGGATTCTTTCGGTGGAATAAGCAATGAGTTTAGGAACTTACTTTTTGTTTTTTTCAAGTCAACATATTCCCATAAAGACTAGTCTGAAATCATTTATCACAATTGTAATTATATGAAGAATCGTCTTTCTTATAAGTAAATTATAATAAAGATCATATATATTCATCATACGTGTTAATAATACACAATAGTATATGTTATCATAAACTTGAATTAAAAAAAATAAAACTTTCCTTTCTCAATATTTTGTGAAAAAATCGTTCGAAGGCATATCCAGACTACACGAAAAATATTGACAGTATTCTGAATTAATTGAAGAATTCGTTTTTCATGAAACACTATTTCAAAATCACAATACAAGTATATAAATCAATGGTTATAAAAATTGTATTGACGATTTCAAGCGATACTTCTCTTAATGGACTTTTCAATCAGAATTAATTTCAGTTTCAGAGAAAAATTAAATGATAATTGTTGTTACAGGATTGTTAAGGAAACGATATATAACAAGGATAAATGTTTTTACTGATCCTTAACAATTTTTATTTTTGAACATAATAATTACAACTCAACATAAACAAAATGACAATCTTTACCAAAATATCGTTGAATGCAGAGCCATGTAAATGGCAGAGACCAGATTGGACACGACAGATCCATCAGGGACCAGGTGTGCGGTTGGAAGTAATTGCACGGGGCGCAACCCAGAGGCGATGTTTATGGTTTAGTGTATGCCTCCTATATTAATCAACCGACGATTTTGAGAAAATTAAATGATTGTTTTAGGCCATCGTAATCACACTGGGCGTGGATTTCCATTAATAGCTTCTTATCTTTGGAATGATTCACACCGGAAAGGAGGAAAAAATGCCAACTTTTTAATATTATATAAGAATTAGTATTAAATTTCTCGTTATAACTTAAATGACAGTTTCGGATAAAGGTTGAATAATAAAATATCTTGATTCGCACTCATATCTCGATGTTTATAGTTGTGTGTATGAATTCATGTTTACAGCCAGCATTAGCAAAACTTATGTAAAATAGTAGAAAGCGACTAACATATGAGAAACCTAGAGGCAAAGTGCATTTTTTTTTTTAAATAGAGTAAGTGCATGGCTCCTCTGGGAATTTTTAATCTACTTCGTAGTTAAGATATTTAACTATTTTGTCCTTCCAGTGCTGCGTTATACTGACCTACCACTTTATTTTCTAACAATTGTTAACTAGGCCTTGGTGGTAAATTTTTTATTTCAATTTTTCTCAAATGTCAAATAAATAAAATTTTGTTATTTTTTACTAATAATTAATACATTTGTTAATCTTGAGAAATCATGTGATTAGTGGTACTCTATTCATTATTATATAGAAATTATTTATTAAACACAAATAAATGTATTGAATAATTAATAATCCGAAAGAAACAATGAAATCTTCCATATCTATATTTCATAAAATTATACCTAGCTTCTTAGAAACCGATTTTGAGATAGCACAGTTAAGTTTTTTTTTTTTTTAATATATTAGAGTTAATTGACACTCAGGTTCATCATTGAGTTAACGGAATGGTAGTTTGTAGAAATACTGTCAGTATAAAGATCACGCGTAAACATGTCTTCAAATCGTCAGCATTTTCATTTAAAATGCCTCCTATAACATAGTAGTAGACTCTTTTATTGAAGAAATAATAAAAGTTACGATTGATATGCACCGGCAATACCTAAAGATTGATTGTATTTTCATAAAAAGGTCCTTCGATAACCCAATAACGAACCTCACTATTGAAGAAATCATTTAAGCTTGTGGCTATTTTTTATCATTACGAATATATTAGCTTGTTGTAAAAGAGATAAGTGAAAATCATCATTCTTAAAGTAATTTTTATTTATTTATTTATTCAGAAATATAATAATCGGTTACAATAATTATAGTGAGATATGAACATATTCACGTCGTATATACAGAAAACATAAAATTAACAAAAGTAAAATAATAATTAAAAAATTTTGTCTAGTGAAAAATAAAATAACCTAAAGGTAAGTAAATTAAAAACATAAAAACTCAGTCACTGGTGCTAAAACCAGTGGAGCTTAAGGGAGAGCCTTAGCTTTAGTATCAGTGACGCGATTGATAGAGTAGCGCAGGTATCTCTTGGAGTCCTCCTTTTCCCTCTTTAGTTGAAGTGACAAGCCTGGTTTGGGGTTCCCTGCCTGATTATATATGCTCTATTAAGTAATTTATAACAATTTCAAACGTGGTAAAAATTTGTTTTAAACGTTACAGTGGATTTAGAAAAACGTAAAGATCTATAAAAAAAAAAAAAAAAACACAACCGACGTTATGGCCAGCTATATACACTACTTAATAGAAAATCTAAACTTTCTATTGAAAACAAACTACTGATCTACAAGACAACATTAAAACCCATGTGGACCTACGGACTAGAACTGTGGGGGACAACCAAATTTTCTAACAGCAAATGCATTCAATCCTTCCAGTCCAAAGTCCTCCGTACAATAGTCGATGCTCCCTTCTATGTCTCTAATAAAACCCTGCACAATGACCTTAATATTCCATTTATTCTTGATCTTATCCCAGACAAATTCTCCAAATTTCATCAGAACCTTACCCATCACCCTAATCCCGTAGCACAATCCCTATCTAGCACCACTCATCCCTACAATTCTCCTCGCAGGCTGAAACGGCAGTGACCCCGTGACCTTTTGTAACATGTATGTACTGGAGTTCTGGCAATGGCCAGATTCTCCACTCAAGTCATGAGTGTCCGTGGTTGAAGCGCCCTTACTCAATCTCCGCTGGCTTTCAATGCCAGTGAAATGGTTGAGGAACAAGCGCAGGGATCTCCTGAAGCCTTGCTTTCCCTCCACGTGTGGGGGATAAGTATGGTTCGGAGTTCCTATGGCCGACTGTAAATAATGTAATAGGTATGCCTGCGTCTAAGATGTTTATTTTCATTACTTTTTTTTTTTTTTTCTCACTATGATATTTTATTTTGTTCTTTTGTAGCTTTATATTATTTGAAGTTAGCTTATTTTTTTTATTTATTTATTTTTTTAAATTTGTGTTATTAAATATGGTGTGAATGTGCTCTCAGAACTCTATTATAAATGTCCTTTATTGAGACAGATTGTAATATTAATCAATAAAAAAAAAAAAAATATATATATATATATATATATATATATATATTTTCTCCACTTGAGCTTCTCCCTTTAATTGATTGCAAATCTTACAAATCCATTTGGAAGCATTTAAAATCCTGTCATAGTTAATTTAGTATCAAAAAGGAATTTAAAAATGTTCCTTTTGAGGAGTATGAGTATTTTTTTTTTTATTATATCTGTTGTATCGACATAATAAATTAGGACTCATATCATCTGTTATATAGTTAGAAAAAAAGAAGAGTTGTAGTCCGAAAGAAATTTTTTTAGATTTATTTATTTATTTAAAAATATAATAATAATGTGGACATAATTATAGTGATATATGAAGACATTAACACCATATACCAGAAAATTAAAATTAAAAAAAAAAAAGAAAAAAAAAAAAAGTAACCAATGCAATTACAACAGAGGTTTGACTTTAAACATCGTTTACTCAAAATTTTGATTTTGTCAATTCGCAATGTAGCTTTTTGATTCAAGAGGGCTGATATGTAAATAACAATTTTAATTGGCGACAAAAAGGAAAAATCTAATTTTAATTTGTTTTTTAAGGGGTTATGTTTTATTAATGAAGGGTCCAATGGCACTTGTCACTGCTCAGATAACTAACATCTCTATCCTCCGAGATAAATTACAACACAACCATTAGCTGAAGCGAACAACATACCACATAATAGCCAAGGGTGGTGCACAAGCACGTACACATTTCCTCCACTTGAGCTTCTCCCTTTAATTGATTGCAAATCTTACAAAACCATTTCGAAGCATTTAAAATCCTGTCATAGTTAATTTAGTATCAAAAACGAATTTTAAAATGTTGCTTTTGAGAAGTATGAGTAATAAATATATCATAT